CGCCATGACCCTCACTGCGCCACCCCCCCACCCCCCCAGCAGGAGGGGCTGGCCTCCCAGGCCTCCTGGGTTCCCTCCCAAGCAGGGGGGGAGGAGGTGGCTAACAAAGCCGGAGCCAGCACGCGGGAGCGCCCGGGGACAATGGGGCCAGGGCTAGCGGCCAGGGCCTGGCCCAGACGCCTGGGTTCTTTGTTTGCCCGGGGGGGCGAGGGGATCTGGGCCGGGCTGGACCCCCAAGTTACCCCAGGGGTGCTGGACCCCCCTCCTCTACCCCCAGCCTGGGGGGGACCAGCACCATTCTCAGCCCCACCCATTGGGCCCAGCCCCCCATGTACATGTCCCAGGCATGTACACACACACGCACGCACGCACGCATCCCAGGCATGATCTCTCTCTCTCGCGTACACACACGCTCACCCGTGCATAAATCCCAGTTGGGCACTCACACCCATACATGTGTCCTGTGTGAGCTCACACGCACTCCCATGCCTGAGGGGTAAGCTCACACACGCGTGTCCCAGCTATGAACTCACACTCGCTCATCTGGCCCAGGTGTGAGCTCCCACCCATGCTGGGCCCCGGCATGGACTGTGTGTGTGTGTGTGTGTGTATGTATGTGTGTGTGTGTGTGTGTGTGTGTGTGTGACACACATGTACACACATCACAGGTGAGCTTACACCCCCCAAGCATGTCCCAGGCATGCACTCCCATACACATGCCCCAGATGTAAGCTCCCAAGCACATGTGTCCAAGGTATGAACACTCTCAAACACACATGCACACATGCTCCAGATGTGAAAGTATACACATACAGATACACACATCCCAAGTGTGAGCTCACACTCCCCAAACCTGCCCCAGGCATAAGCTTACACATGCACCCGTGTACCCCAGACGTGAGCTCACTTTGTGTGTGTGTGTGTGTGTGTCTCTCACACACACACACACAAGTGTGAGCTCACACTCCCCCAAGCCTGCCCCAGGCATGAGCTCACACACACATGCCCCAGGCATGAGCTTGCTCTCTCTCACACATGCACACACACACACACATGTGCAGGATAAGCATGACCTTGCTCACGCATGCACGCCCCCCTCTCCCCATGCCTGTCCCCAGCAGGATCCCCAAGCCCGCGCCGCCACGCGTGTGCCCCCCTCCTTGCACCACCGTCATGTGCTCACCGTGCGAGTGCTCATCCTCGCTGCCCTCGTCCTCCGACGGGGGCTGGTGCCCGTTGGGGGCCGTCTTGGCCCGGCTGCGGGACAGGATCCCAGAGGCCGGGCTGGGCTTCTCCATCACGGACGGCATCGCCCTCGTGCCCCGGCCTGGCACACGCGTGTGAGCTCACGACTGGAGGGGGCGGGGCGCTTGGCACGCTGAGCTCCCCCCAGCCAACGGGGCGGGGGGGTCTCTACCTTCAACTCCCCCCCCCAACAAAGTTGCCCCAAGTCCCCCTTTACTTGAGGGGGGCAGGGCCCAGGCACCTGGGTTCCTGAATCAAGCCCCTGCAATAGGCGGGGGTCTGGCCCAGGGCCCTGCACGCGGCCGGCCATGCCCGGGGGGAGGGCAGCGGGGGCAGCGGCAGTCGCCTCGGTGCCCCACACACAATGAGGCGGCAGCCGGCGTCGCCTGCTGCCCCGCCCGCCGGAGCGCTCCGCCGCCCGCACAGCTGGCCCGGGGCTGTGGCCAGATGTGCGGGGCTGCTGGGGGTGCGGCCCGGCCCGGCCGGGGGCCGCAGCCTGCCCGCCCCGCAGGGGGCTGCTCGGGACCTGGGCCGTCCCGCCGTGCCCCTCAGCTCCCTCTCCTTAGCCCAGCCCCGCACCTTCCACCCACCTAGCCAGCCCCAGTGCCCTTATTCTCCCAGCCACCCCTCTGCATCCCCCTCCCTCTCTCCCTGTATCCACCCCAGCCCCTTTTCTCCCCATCCATCCTCCTCTAGGCACCCCCTCTCCATGTACCCATCCACCCTGCATATCCACGGACCCACACAGCCATCCATCTCTCCCCACCCCTCCACCCCCTTTTTCTTTCCATCCATCCACCCATCTATCAATCCATCTGTCTATCCCTCACACTCCTGTCTGTCCACATCCATCCCCATCCATCCCACCCCACCCCAGAACTCTACTGACTTATCTGTATTTCCCTCCCTTCCATCTATCTATCTCTGATTATTCTATTCACCTAGCCTCCATTCATCCATCCATCCATCCATCATCTATCTATCTTCCTGTCTGTCTACCTACCAACTGACCAACCTACTTATCTCTCTCTCCTGCTTTCCCCATAACTCTATCAGTTGATCTATCCATCTTTCCCCACTTCCCCTCCATCTATCCATCCACCCAGCCCCAGCCCTTTATCCCTCCCGCC